ATGCCCTACATGCATATATATATATATATATATATCCTCACACACATGTACACATGTTCATCCTGAATCTGACTCCCTTCACAACCTGCAGCAAACCATGCGCCATGTTGCCCCACTTGGTTTGGCCACGAGCACTTCCCTTTTTCGGCATTGCTGTGTCTGTCTTCAACTTGCCATGTCGGCCACTCAAGTCCATGCTGCGGTGAAGATAGAGAAGATTACAGTCTTAGTGTTGATTAAAGAGTCTAGACCGGCAACTCCTGCTTTTCACAACGCTCCCCACTTACAAGGAACGTCAGAGAAGCCTCCCAAAACAGCCTATCGCCAGCTGCTCTGCACTCCGACCGAACTCTGCCGATAACTTCGCAGAGTTTCGTAGCCCTCAACGAGCACAGCTCTGTACCCTCCCTCACTGCGTCGCTTGGGGCTGCACCAGTATTTCAGATCTTGCCTGGAGTACAGCAAGTAGCCTGAGATTGCTCTCCGGCTCTCAGAAGTGTGCTCGAAACAGCGGCCTTTGGGGCTTGCATCGCTTGCCCAAACACTTCAGAGATGGCAAGGGGCTAGCGACGGTGAGAAAGACCCAGAATGTCGAAAACGTGGCCCAAGATGCCGATCCTTGCGCTGCCCAGCACCACATTAGGAGCGACGACAAACATCTCCGGATCCAGATCTACAAACAACAGGAGTTCTTCAGTGGTAGTTTGCAGCCAAGCATCTCGCTGATCGGAAGAACTCGCGAATATGGTGTCCTGATCAAAAGCGCTTGACAAAGGTAATACGCCGGGCTAAGAGCCTCATGAATGCCACTGTGCTTGTCACCACTTCGGACTCTTGGGAGAATGATCGGACAAATAACTCAATTATTACCCAATTATCAAGACCGGATAAATACTTCACCAACTTGCCACATCAGAAGAATGTTAGGCAGTCTCACCTGCCATCTTAAATGCCTGCTCCTGCAACCGCGAAGAATCCCAGAACCCTTCAACCCGTCGTCTTATTCCTGGAACCCAGGCAATGACCGCAGAGCAAGATCACGCGCAACAGACATCAGCTGCAGGCTGTCTGTCTGCCAACTAGAACTCTAACCATTCCCTTTCAAGGACTGGGGTTCATTATGTCGGAAAGTTCAAGGCATAGGCGCTGTACAGATCTCATACATCCAACTCTTCCCAGTCTTGGCCAGGTCGCCCATGTCTCGCTTTGGAGGTGTAGGTGACAAGCCGTCTTCCTCAGCAACCCGAAAAGCTAAGGGTCGAGGTGTAATTTTTGTTGTTGCAGCACGTTCCCTTTTGCTGTGCAGTCGCGGGGTGCTTCGTTGTCGCCTTTTTGCTGTGCAGTCGATTTCGGGGTAAGACTCTGCAACACTCATACTCTGCTCCTTCCTTAGGGGATGCTTGTGATGGTTCTTGATCGCCCTCTTCTGAGCCTTTGATTACCTGAGCTCCAGGCAGCTTCTTCGATTCCGAGGTGTGCTTTGAGAGCCCCATCACAACTTAGAGCTTTCCTGATTCAGGGACTCTTCAGCCTGGTAAGCCAGAGCAAAAAAGGGCCCTCGAGCCAGGCTGGATCCGGAGACTGTCTTCATACCTCTGGTCCCTTTTCCTGATCTTTCTCCTTGTGACCTGAAACCAGTGCCCTGCTCTACGAGTGGAGTTGTATTTCAGTCTCTTTTTTGTTGTCCCTTGTTTTGCTTTTAGTTCTCCTCGTGTTCATGCTTTTGCCAACTCCCCACACGCCATGATTTACGGCACATCGCGCAAATCTGGTCCCTACGTCCTACTAACTACACCGAAGAAGGCTCGCCGCGTGCGGCTCCAGTGGTGCGGTGCATACTTTTCGCTGACATCATGTCATTTGCAGAAAGTTTTGCATGATGAAGGCGTGATTCATTCTAAATAAGGGGACATAGACAACTGTTGTCTGTGGAAAGCCTTGAATCGTGGCAGAACTTGCGGGAAAAGATTTAGAATCTACCTCTGGACTGCCCAAGCTAAAGGGGGGCAGGCACACGTCTTGTGTTCCTCAACTGCGCCAGTGCAAGTATGTATGCATGCATGCATGCATGCATGCATGCATGTATGTATGTATGTATGTATATATGTATGTATGTATGAATGTATGTATGTATGTATGTATGTGTGTATGTGTGAATATATGTATGTATACAGAAAGTGGAACCGATATATATATATATATGTGTATATATATATACATATATATACATATGTATGCATACTATATTTGTATATATGATGCGTAATAATGTTTGTGTATATATGTATATATATATATATGTATGCCCATCCCCACCCCCGGCGACAGACCATCGCATGGAAGATTTTGTAGTCGTTAGATTGAAAGAAGCTACAGAGTACTACTCGAGCGTGTCGTTCTGTTAATGGCTAGTTCAACCTTCTCTTGTTTCAATCAAGCAAAAGTGTACAGTTAGGAAAAACGCATACATGATCTTTATGGGGAATTCAACTATCCACGTGACATGTCTTTCTGTGTCTATGTGTGTATGTGTATATATATATATATACGTATATACATGTGGTTGCCCCGCGGCGAGCACCTCCTTCCCCCCCTCCCCATCAACGGTATCACCCCCATTTGGTCATCCCCCCTCCCCTTTTGTGGAACGGCTTGGTTGAGCTTGCGTAGGCCTTCTTCCAATGGTTCTGCGCGTGATCATCCCCTCTTCCCCCCATTGTGGAACCGCTTGGATCTACAGATTCGTCGCGGAACGCACAGCACACTCTGTATGTGTGTATGTATGTATGTATGTATGTATGTATGTATGTATGTACGTATGTATATATATGTATGTACATATATGCATGTATATGTTTGTACATATATACATATATAGATATGCATGTGTATATATATATATATTCCTAATTTATGTGTAATGGGTATACATATATATATATATATATATATATGCTCTCTGTCTGCCTCTATCTATCTATCTACCTAACTATCTACCTAACTATCTATCTATCTATCTATCTATATGTATTTAAAAATATGTACGCACACATATTCTACATATTCCATGAAGAAAATACACATAAGGTAAAGAGCCTGGAAAATATTTATTCTATCTATATGTATACATGCTATACATATTGGTACATGCACATACATATTACATATGTACATATATATATATATAGATATATATATATATATATATTCTATTTAGACAATATGTATATGTATGTATCTTTCGTTTTCCGGGTGCACCGAAAATGGACGGAGAGCCGTGCGAATGCACCGCCAAAGAAACGCAACCTGTGTGGAAACCCGTTGTTCCTGTTCTGCGTTCGCCAACGAGACAACCCGTTTCTTTCATGCAGCACGGAGACAAGATCATGCACTCTTGGTCTTCGATTGAGCCGGGGTTTGCGACCCCGCACTCTCTCCATCCTTAGGTCAGCAAACTTATTCTCAGATTCTGCCAAGACCACGAAAACACGTCACATCCGCATGGCCATCTTCGGTTTCAGCCTGACTGAAGGTGCAGCCGGGCTACAGGCTAGAGACCACGCCACTCAGCGCCTGCCGTCCAATTTAGGTTGTTGGGAGCAGACTCTTCACGCGGACTGGCCGGCCCTCAGGTCCAAGCACAACGAATCTACCCTACAGAAAGAGACGTGTCTCGCAGACTGACTGTAGTTTGACGATTGAATGCTCCACACCGGGATCTTGACCACGAAGCCACAAAACTTGAGGCATCCGGTTGGGACTGAGCCCTCTTCAGCATTGGCGAAAGGCCACTGCTTCCGGAAGACGCGAACGAGGTAGGAACATACAACCTGGGCCCTAAGCCGCCACCAGGCATTATGTTCAAGGAGTCAGCTTCCCTCAAACCCTGAGCAACTCCGCCTCGCTTCGCCTCCCTGAGCCAGACTTGATGGCCGAGCTGGTGATGAGCGCTCTCGAGCCTTGCCTGAGCTGATACAGGCGATGGAACCAAAGCTCGCTCGGCTGCTCTGCTCGTCTTGGCGAGGGGTGGGGTGGACTATCAAGCCGCAGTCCAGCTGAAGGAATTCGCGGCAACTGTTCTACCAATTTGCAATGCACACTTGACTTCAGCAGCAGTACATAAAATTGAAAAGGTTCTGCCAAGATTCAACAGAAACAGCGGCAGCACGAGGCACCTGGCATTAGACGGCTTGCTTCTGAGGTCATCAAAGCTTCAGGTTCGGAACACGGCCAGTGCAGCATTGCAACATCACAGCCCTCAGATTGGACCGCAAAAGAAAAGCGATCCATGTTCTTGTGAGAACCAGCCCCATCACATCAACCCAAAATACAAGCTGCAAGCTTCAAACATGCCGAGCATTGCCATTGCCATCTTTTCATCGTTTGCTGTTCACCTGGCAACTGTAGCAGATCACTGCAGCTGAGTTAGGTTCGGCCATGGCTTGAGATCCTGCTGGCTCCCGAAAAATGCAGGGGCCACCTGAACTGCTCCAGAGGGTTCACGGAAGTTCGATCTCGAGTATCTGGGTCATGGTTCAACCACAGCTTTGAGCCAGGATCCGCATGAAAAGCGCACGTTCCGTCCATTCCGGAGGCGGAACTGGCTGGAACTCAAACAGCAACACTGAGGCGGCGAAGTGCATCAGCACAGGTATTCAGGTGTTCACGGGCTGGTCCCCTCCTGGGTTTGCCGCGCGTCCATGCCGAGCTGGCGTAGCGCATGGTCTTAAGTCTGTTGGGTCCGGCGAGGCAGATGATGAAAATTAGCAGTCTGCCATTCTTCTTCAAAGCAACGGCATATCAGACAACATAGATGCGCAAAGTCTCGTCAGAGAATCAAATCTAGTCCAACACTTTTCTGATGATGCTGCAGATTAGCTTTGAAGAAGAGGCCAGCTTGTAATGCAAAAGAACAGGTTGACTGCAGATGGTAGGGGAAGTCTGCGTGGTCCAGCTCCCCCACTCGCAGTCTGCTTCCTTCTGAAAGGAAACCCTGCGTCTCAAATCTTAATGCCTCCCTCCGGCTCGAACTTGGAACCCAATTCGCTCAACTTCTTGTGGGCCTGACACGGCGACCAAGAACGGAGACTGCTGAACGCTTTGGCTTCCGAACTCCGAGAACTGGAGACTGCTGACATCCATGCTAGCCTTGGCGTAGTCCTTGAAGAAGGCATCTTGGTCCTGCACGGTAGCATCACACGCGGTTTGCCATGTTTTTTGTGGCCTCCATCACTGCTTCCGACTTGCACATCAGGCGAAAGGCCTTCGCGTAGAGATCGAAGTATTTCTTGAACTCAGGATCTGTGTGCAGAGCCTTGCAAAAACAAGCCAGAGATCTTCTTGCTTCATGCAGTCAGATTCGCGACAGCATGTCCTACACCACCGCTTTTCTGCCATCAGAACACATCTCTGTCGCTGGCTGCAGCAGCGAGCCTCGTCGGTTTTGAACCAAAGGAGGCTGTCATCCTCGCACTACTACGGGATTGAGGCGGGAGCATGCTTTTCACAGCAAATTAAAGATACATACACCGCTGCGCTGGTCCCTCGACGGATGAAGTTGCAACAAGAGTATCGAATTTTACGTTCAGTTTGGCCTCTCTGGCGGACGGGGAGCGAGCTGGACTGTGAAAAGAACAGCACATGCCTCGCGGTCCCGGTAACCAAAACCCTTCACTCCTAACGCAAGAACCCCATTGTTGTTTCAGTACACTGCTCGGGAAAACTCAGCTACCGAGGCTTCAGGCAAAACAAGCGTGCTTGAGCCCACTAGCAAAAAATGCGGGGCCCATGATGACTAGCCCTCACCCGCACAGCATGCTGCTTGCGCTGTGCATTCCATGCTTCAACGACGATTGGATTTATCAACACCATAGCGAGACACCTGGCCAAACAAAAGGCAGAAAGCAACCGAAACACAGAGAGACAGAAACGATAGAATATCTGGCTCTGTTCTGGAGCCGTTTTCCTGTTCCTTTTGCATTGCCCGTACAGTCTGTGATCTACCAACCTACCAAAACAATGATGTCGCTGGAAGACCTTTGACAACACCCAAACCTGACACAGACTTTGTATAGCTCACCAACATGAAAACCGAAACCTCATGTTGTTGCAAGCTGAAGTCCTCGTAGGACAGCTTGTAGTCCTTGAAGTAACCTGGCCGTGACATCTTGAGTTTCTACGAAGTTCGCTGTCTGGTCAAACATGGCTGGCTGTCTGTTGTCAAAGGTCAGCCAGTTCTTCGTCCAAGAAGCACCACCAACCATTCCTTGCATGAACTGTGATTTTCAGGAAAGTGTTTGCGCCAGAAGACCAGTTCTCCTCAACTTGTCCAGCAAGTCTGGCCTATCTCGCATGCCTGCTTTAAACGATGCCACGGTTCCAACGCCTTTGCTCCCATCCTGTGTGACACGGTGACATTGTGTGGGGGAAGCTGGCAGGAGCTTGAGTTCTTCTGGAACGAGACATGAAGGCTAAGACAGGCTGAGACTGTGTTGTATGTGCTCTGAAGAAATCACATCTCGCGCTGTGGAACTGGAATTTGCTATTTCTTCGTGTGTATTCCCGGAAGGTCCTTGCGCACTATGCAATCGCCTTTGGTGTACTTCGAAGCTGCCTCGTCAAATGGCGATGCTTTTCAGAAAGATGCCCCACTTTGGCAGTCTCCCAACCTGCTCGCCGTAGCCGAAAGGGCAAGCCCCGCTGCGCTCCTTTTTGCATGCTGCAGGGTGTTTATCTATATATATATATATATATATTTATTTATTTATTTATTTAGGAATTCCTTGAAGGCGCGGCCGATGGTGTGGGCACCGGAGAGCGCCACGATCTCCTGATCCGTGAAACCTGGGACACGGTAGGATCTCGGAACGTCCGCCCGCCTTTTCCATCCTTTTTCACCCCGGTGCTGTTCGGCGGACCGAACAGGGCTGTTCGGCTGCCAGGGTAGGATGACTCGCCAGAGTACCCTCCCATGCTGTGGCAGCTGAGCCGGCGGCCCATCTTCTTCGTGAAAACATTCCGAAGATGCTGCGCCGCGGTAGGTGCCTGCTCTGTTTCCCACGCCCGTCGGCATCGTCCGTTGCTGATCCGGGTCTCCCTGCCCCGCAGCCAAAAGGAGGCTCGGCATCCGGAAGTCCCGCGTTGCCCGAGAAGCCCTGAAGCAGAGATAGCTTGGACACTTTGCAAAGTGAAGCAGAAGCATGAAGAAACCACAGTGGCCTCCCTGGATGCTGACTTGACACACTCGCTGTCAGACGTCACTGCCACGCGTCCGTACCTGCAGTCACTTTCATATCCTATTCAAAAGTCCTACGAGCTGCAAGAATCTGCAGCCAAGTCAAGCATGTCTCATGGCAGTCACTTCATTTACCTCCTGGACGCCATCCAAGCTCACAGGAGAGCAGAGTCTCATATGGGGCGCCTTTTTCTGGGGCCAGCATGGACACGATCAGCGTCTTTCGGATTCTCGTCTTCTCGCAACTTCACCATACAACATCATACAACTGCATGTACACAGTGGATGGAAGTGCTGGGTGGGGACGATTCCGGCGCACTTCATGTCAATGACAGGGCCACCAGCACACTCGATGGCAACGGCAGACCTGCTGTATGCCTACTATGCACTCTCATTGCTTCCCAGAGGCTTTTAAGAAGGTGTACAGGCTCGTTGAGTGCTCAGTGCTGAGACTACGACGCCAGCTGGATCAGATCGGCCCAGGAAATCTAGGCAAGAGTGCGACTGCGCAAGCTCAGAAGATCGGAGATCGGTACCGTGCAATGATGTCCCATAGTGAACTGCATGCGGCAATCCGGCCCCTGAGGGCAGTGCTTCGGGATACTTCTTAGCAAACTCATCGAGGAAGCCTTGACAGACCAGACTCATGAAAGAGCTCAGAGAAAGTGATGGTTAAGCTTTGCAGCCTGCTTCGGCTTTCTACGTTTGGAGTCCAGTTTGGGAGGGATCTGCTTGTGAGGTGGCACTGCCAAAGAGACTGTGCAGGTAGTCCTGCACCTTTTGCTACTCTTATGTTGGACATGCTGGAGCTTCCTTTTTATGATGGACCTGCTTTTGTTCTTTGATGCTGGAGTTTTCTTTCATGCTGAACCAGGCCTAACTTCGCTGTTTCTATGCTGGGGGGAGGGCGCTTTGCCCCTGATGGCCGAGCGTGGGCCTGAGGAGCGTAAACCAAGACTATAGTCCGCACAAAAATGTCAGGTCCGGAGAAACAGGAAGTGCGGATTTAGGGTGTTGGTGTTGCTGTTTTCACTAGTGACTAGTGCTGGGAGTCCCTTTGTTGCAGCTCCCAACTGAAGCAAAGCCGGGTTCGAAGCCTACAGCCATAACAGCTGAAGCCACAAGCACAAAGAGAGAAACCATAAGCCTAAGAAAGCGAAATTGCCGACCATATAGCTACGAAATGAAAACATGAGGTGGACAGCATAAAATACAAACGCCGAGGAGCATCAAGTCAAAAACCAGTCCAACTTTCTGCCTTCCAAAAACCCTCTTCGTCGTGCATTTAGAGCTGCCTCGCCTTTTGCTTTGTCCAGGCCGGCATTGGCACCTGACGAATGTCAGGGCACCAACTCATCCGGGAACAGTAAACGTGGGGGTATTTCTCCACGTTTCCCTGGCAGACCAGAGTTTACAGACAAAGAGAGACCAGGCTGCACTTGGGCTTCTGCAGAACTTGGACTGAACAATCAAATTTCAGATCCGCGCCGAAGTTCATCTCACCCGCAAATCTGATTGCACCTTGATGCAAGCCGTATCCGCCCGGTTGAAGGTCAAACAATGACTTCACGTCTTACAAAAAACCTTTCGCGCCAACAACATGTGAAGACACGTGAGGCAAGAACCATTCGCGCCACCCCGCTCCGGGAAGTTCTTGATACGCCTGGCAGCATGTAGACATACAGAGGAGCAGCCGTCAGTCCTTCATTACAAGCATGAGAAGCACTTCGGCCCACATTTCGAGTCTCGGACTGATCATAGGTGCCAGAGTCCTGGCACAACGAACAAGCAAAATGGCCAAAGCTGGGCATCGACCCACCCGACTGACACACGTGCCGGCCGGACATGCCACGCCAAGCGCACCATAATCCTCATAGAAGGAACTACGACGACCAGTGCTCCAATGACGACATCCAAGCGCCTCTTCTTGTGCCACTCAACCGTTTTAGGAGAAGGATGATGACGGGCAACACACAAGCCATGTTGCCAAGTTTCGGGTGACAGTTTTTGCTGTCGATGAACTTCTTGAGATCCTGCAACATCGGACCCGCGCACTACACAGGCACTTCAGATGGCTCAAACATGTCATCACGCCATCTCAGTGCACCCTTGCAAACACACGCCCCGTCGGATGCTTGTGCAGGCTGCTCTATCGATCGCCAAATTGCCGCAACGACAAACACGACAGCTGCTTAACAACAGCTCATAGGGGATGAAGCTTCGCTGACGGGGCCTTGTAACCGTTCTGAGCATCCTTGCTATCTAGAATTTTCGTGACACGCCGCCCCATTTGCGAACTAGTCGGTCACACAAGACCGCCGTACCGGCTGTACAGTCTTGTATCATTTCAGCCTTCCTCGGATGCAAGACTGCAGCACATGCTAAGAGGTCTTCGGTATTCCGTCCTTTCACGACAACCGTTGCTGCATGCGTATGGGAGCCAGCGAAGCTAAGCAGGCGGGGCGGAAAAGCGTGGGCAGACGGCATAATGGGAGCGACGCAATCAGGTTGTGCCTTGCAGCACCGGTCGCTGCGCTGAGTCCCAAGCACGGAGTAAGGAAGGAACGGAATCCCACATCGTGACAGCTACATATATGTTAATCCAGCACTCGGCTGGTACGTCTCTCCCTCATAGCAGGTCTCCTTTCTCGAAGCCACTGCAAGACAGACTGCTAGTAACTTTCTAAGGTGCAAGAAGCTCTTATCATGCGCAAGGAGCCGCAATCCTGCTTGCAGGCTCGCAGCTGGGAGACCTTTTTGCTGCCCAACCTTCCAGGGAAAGGGCCGGGGGCCGGGGGCCACCTCTCCGTCAGTTTCTCTCACCCAAGGCTAGCACATGCCAAAGCAACCGTCGGAGCAAGCGTTTCCCATGACGAACTGCTCTGGTCCCAAGCAGGTATCTGTCGTGCTCGGGATCTAAGGGGCCGAAATGGCTGCGGCCGCACTGAATTTGCAATCATCTGTCCTCTCTGTCCTTGTGACAACCTGCCGAGATCTGCGAAACACCGCCCTGGCATGAAACATGCTTTTTTCAAAGCTGCACACCTCGTTCGAGGTCTAAAGACTGGGGCTCAAAGAGGCGAGGTGCTCATTCGCCTCCCAGCTTGGCAATAGCGACGTTGTTGCTGAGGCTTCAATTTATGCAACTGCCACCGCATGGGCGCCGGATCTTCGAAGCCTGCGTGCCAGCTCGTAGCTGATGTCGCTAAAGGTCAAGTCCTAGGTCTGCGGTTGTGTCCAACTGCCGATGTCAGCAACGTCTTCCTCTGATCATGCTGATGAACCCAGGAACAGGGTTAGACGCCCCACCTGAGCCCCGTCTTCATCATACCGCAGATGCGCAGCATCTGAAAACTCTAACATGGCCGAGCTCCGGGCATCCACGCCCGACAGGCTGCCAGCAGGACCCGAGCCCTGCCCAGGTTTGGATACTCGCTGGGTCTGCGAGCCAGTAGGGCGTTCCGCAAAGAAGGAAGCAGCTTGGGAGATGTGCTCCAAAGCTTGTAGTCGAATCTGACAATTTGGATATGTTGCCTTCCCCGGGGCTGTAGGATGTAAAAAGAGGACTCGGTCGATCTACAGAAACTGGAGAAACTGCAAAACCTCTGTGCAATGAAGGTTCCTTCTGGATCATGCTCATTTGGAATGTTGAGCGAAAGGGTATCTATTGGCACAGAGCCGCAAACCCCCCCCTCCCCCCCTCACTTGGTCCCCTCGGGAGGTCAGAAGCGAAATCTCCCTCTGGGCTACTGGGCTTCTCGGCCTTGGGCTCTCGCGCGTACGCAAAGAGCAGCAAGATTGCCTGAGAGAGGGAAGGCTCTTGTTAAAGAAAGGGGATCTCCGTGTTTGGGGCCGTGTCTAGATCGGGCTCAGCCGCATGATATGCTGGCCACAAAGCTCTGCCAAGCAGCTGCTGGGAGGGTTGCCCAAAGCATCAGGCCAACACCAAAGCTGAGGCCCTGCAACACGCGAGGCTCACCCGGCTCGCAGGAAGGCACAGATGCGACACGAGAGCACAAGGTGTGACGGCAAGCAGCAAACGGACGGGACGGAGGCAGTGTCTGGGTTCTGGGGCCTGGAGGATCTAGAGTGGGCCTGAAGTCCAGGGTCTAGCTGGGTCTGGGCAGGAGGGCTGCGGAGTCTCGGGCCATGAAACAGGAAACTGGACCAGGTGACTAGAAACGGCTACATTGCCGAGGCCGAGAGGAGCCTTTCCTCCTGGACCCACCGCAGCCTCGTGGTCTGATGAAAGGAGCCCTGTGAACCCAAAAAACTCCAAAGATGGCTGAAAGGCCTCTTCAGGTTTTAGGGTTTAGGGTTTAGGGTTTAGGGTCTCTAAGCCCTTAATTTCGTCATCGAGCCCATAAAAACCGCGAAACCAAAAAAGACAGGACAAAAAGGACAAACATCCACCTCTGTCTGCAATTTTTCTGGACCGGCGATACTCAAGGACACGCAAGACAACTACCTGAGTTGGTGGTATCAAAGCCTTTTCTGTCGCACGGCTCAGCGGAGCACATCCCCAACCCCAGAACGTGTGGCCTGCGAAGCAAGAGGCAAGGCAGAGTTGCAGAGTCCAAGCGGAAATCAAACGATGCGAATCACTCGCGTGGACGTTTCTTGCTTCTGACATTCAGGAGGATGAGCTGCTTGGCCACTGTCGGGTTTTCTTCGATGAGCTGGCTAAGTTGATGGTGCTGCTGCTCCAGCAACTTGCATCCATCGGCTTGGATCATCTTCCAGCATGCCAGCTCCAGACAATTGGAGCTCTTTAAATCACTCAAACGTCCCAGGAAGCTCAAGGCATTTTCCGGGCAAAGCATTGCCAACAACTCAGACTCGGCCAGCTGAACGAGCTCCTTCAAGCAGTACCTGTCTGCCAGGAAACGCACCGCAAATGCCAAATCCACGTCTCCATCGGCATGGAAGGAGCCCGAGACGATATAGCGCAGTATTGCGCTCATCGCTGCTTTTGTTGCCAGCGGATCTGAGCGAAGATCCACCTCTTTGGTCTGACCCTCCATCCACTGTGACTGTGCAAACATCTCACGAAAGTAGTCTGACCTGGCCACCAGCAGCCGTTGATCAAAAAAGAGTGTGCACGCAGACAGGTGAAAAGACACAGGCTGCAGCTCATCTTCGAAAGATACCCCTTGCAAGTCGGATATCAGCGCGTCTGCCACAGGAAGGCCTCTGACCTCCGCACAAATACTGATGCTGCTGGTCGCAGTCCATTTGTTGTCATTCCAGCGGATGATGTCATGCCAGCCCCTGTCTTCATGATCCTGGTCAAAGCTGAAAGTATCTGATCTGGAAAGTTCCGCAGTGTGGCTCTCAACGTTTCTGCGGACTGCGATGCCGTACTCGACATCTTTGCACACCCAGCTCGACTCTTTCACGGAAGGCGGAGGAATGATTTCCACAAATGCTGCCAATGCATTTGACACGGAGCGTTCCGTACCCACGGTCCCTTTCGGATAAACCTTTAAGCAACAGCGGAAGGATCCGGACGGCCCTGTGATGTCCGATCTGATACTCGCACCTTCAGTCTTGATTTGGGACATGAGTGGAATGCCAAGCTAACATATCCCGGGCCTATTGAAAGCTTAGCACAACAACCAGCCCCTCCCGCAACTACTGACTCCGCTTCAAATTTCCTGATCCGACGGCCTTGTTCATAGGAGTCGACGTCTGAGATCGTCAGCTGCAGGTATTCTTGTCGTCCAATGGGCTTGTGCTGACGAAGAATGGGGCAACTTTCCGTCTTAGGCGATGACAGCTGACAGCAAAACACCATCACTAAACTGTACAGTGAGGAATTCCTCCTGAGCCTGCAGAGCTGCCAAGGACATGGGTGTTTTGCACGGCTATACCAGTTGAATCTTCGTGGATTCCGAACAAGCCAACGTAGTCCCAGCGGATCTGGCAGCAGAGTGGCCTTTTCAGGGCGTATGAAGCAGCCTCGTCACCAGACAATGCAGAGCAGCCACGAGCATGTCAAAACCAATAACAACAGACAGCGACGAAGTTTAAGGCAGCTACCCATGAGCACTGCAGCAACACCTGGCATCACCTCAGCAGACAACATGTTGTCAGAGGCTGGACAGGCACCTCGAGAGACTGCAACACTGAGTCAATTCTGAGTGAAGTACAGAGAAGCTAACAACGTGAAGAACCTGATCAAGCAAACATGCATCGAAACGGAAAAATCGCAGCCTGTGCAATTTGTCTGACATTATGCTACGTTGGCTTTGATGACGGCAGCTGAAGGCTGATCGCCACATGAAGGAAAGATGCATGCTATCAAAAGTACATGTTAGTCTTGCTGGACGCATAACCGTGATACATACACATACACATACACATACACATACACATACACATACACATACACATACACATACACATACACATACATATACATACACATACATATACATACACATACACA